GGGGGGGGGGTGAGGGGGCATCCCTGCTCTGGTCCCATCCCCTCAGGGCCCTGACTTGGCTTGTCCTTCCCAAGACGGGCATTTAGGTGGCTAGGCTCAAGGTGGTGGAGCAGGGAGTGGTCCCACTAGGGAGCACGCAGGGAGAACAGAGCATGCAGCCAGCTGAGATTAACAAAAAGCCCCTGCCCAGAGAACGGGAAACAGCTGGACAAACAACCACAGGAGAGAACGTACCAGGCATGCAAGCTAGACCCAGGAGTCAACGGGTTGAGGTTTAGCGTCCCCCACAGCGTCCACCAGCCTGACTGCGGGCCTGCTGGGCCCTGGAGGAGGAGCCTTCCTGATGGGGTCAGGCTGCAGCAGATGGGCAGTGGGCAGGAGGGTGTTAGAGGCAGAACAGAGTAGGTTAGTCAGAGCTGACCTTGGGGGCTGGACTGGTCAGTGGGGCAGGGCCCATGCTGGTGCGCAGGGGGGGAGGGCTGAGGGGGAAGGGAGCCAGGCTAATGTGGCTCACACAAATGCAGAGTGGCAAGTGGATACACTGAGGCCTGTGCCCAAAGCCACGGGATTGGCAAAGAGCAGGTGGCAGGTGCTTCCCTGGAGGTGGGAGGATGATGGGCCCTTGCCCACGAACACACATGCAGAGTAGGATGCAGACACACTTGCTCAGACTCCCGGGGTCCTGCGCACTGTGCCAGGCAGTGCCCTGACATGTGCCCCCTCCCTCTGAGTGTGAGCTTTGAGCCAGTTGCACCCACAGACTGATTCTGATATGAGGGTCCCAAGGTGGAGGGGCCACTCCCTGGGTTCAGTCTCCCAGCCCAGCTGCCCTACAGGTAAGCCCCACTCCAGGTGGTACCCAGCGCCCATCTTGCCTGAGCTCCTCTCCAGGCAACCACTGCACATGCCACCTCCCTGGGCACCAGCCCACAGCCACTCACTTTTAAAGGTTCCTTCTCAGAGGTCTCCCCTGTGGGGGCACTGCCTCGAGCCCTCCACTCCCTCTGGTCCATCGTGGAGTATCCATCTGTGGGGGCACAAGGGGAATTCTGAGGGGCAGGCATCCAGGAGCAGATCTCCCACTCAGTCTAGACAGGGCACATCTGGAGAGGGCACCCACCTGCCCTGCCCCAGCACCATCCTAGAGGCACAGGACAAGTCTTCTCATAGGCCCTCCCCCTGGCTCTCACCATCCCGCCTCAAATGGCTCAGGCCTTGCAGCAGCTCACTTACTCCCCCTTGGCAGCTCAGGATCCTCCAGCCTCTCTTCAGCAAAAGACCAGAGACCCTACCTGGGCACTGACCTCTGCCTGGCTGCCCTATCCCATTACATCTTGAGCACCCCTAAACCAAATCTCTCTTTTTTCCAACCAGTGCCTCCTGGGAAGGCCTTCTCAGCGACACACACACAGGGCAAAACGACCTGGCCCATTTCAGGCCCCCTCTTCCCCACACAGGAAATAAGCAGCGCTGTACCTGCACTCACCTGGGCCAAGGGCCTCCATGGGGATCACATCCCGGCTGCCTGGCTTCTCACCATCTGCAAGGCACAAGCATGTGGCTGACTGGCTGCAAGCAGCAGCAGGGGGCCCAGGGCAGAAAAACCCATGGCAGGGCCAGTCTCAGAGGCCCTGGGTACCCTTCATCACTAACATCTTCGCATCCTTTTGCTGGGCCACTGCCCACTAGCAACACCCCCCTCCACAACATGGCACCAATGTGGATACCACAGGTGGATGTAGAAGGCTGCAAACAGGGAAAGGGGCCACCCTGAGGCCATTTTCCTATAAGAAGACCAGCCTCCCTCCACTCCTCACCAGCCTTGTCACCATCAATGCACCAGGTGAAGGGGCTACTCCACCTTAGGGATGGGTTCACACACATACCCCCAACCCTGCCTGGTACTCACCGAGGCTCTTGTCCACCAGTGGCAGCGTGCTATCATCAAAACCTCCAGGACTCAGTGCTCCCTTGGGCCCCTTGGCATTAGCAGCAGCTGACTGGAGGAGAGAGAGTAAAACAGACAGAGGTGGGGGTCAAGGGCACTCCAGCAAGGGACCCAGCCTGGCAAAGTGATAAAGGAAAGGCTGTGCAGGCGACACCTGGAAGCGTGCTTTGGTCCAGCCATCCCTCTGCAGGGCACCACGCAGCTCCTTGTAGCTCCACACAGTCTGCAGCACGTGGGACGCAGCCTTCGCCTCTCGCACTGATTGGCTATGGTCAGGCCCAGGACAGGTCAGTGTCCAGCCCTGCCCCCAGACCTCCCTCCTTGCCACACCCCCACATACCTGGAGGCACCAAGGGCCACCAGCGCTGGCACACCACGGGCCTGCAGCAGGGAGCGTGCATTGTCTAGGCTATCAGACACGATCTCGTGGATGGTGTTGAGCACAGCCACCACAGTGTCCTCCTCCAAGCGGGCCCCGGGTCGCGCTGGAGCCTGCGCATTGCGCACATTCCGTACCAGCTCTGCCATGGCGTAGCTCCCTAAGGGATAGGGTCGGTTTTAGGACACGCCTCTGCCCACCCGTGGGGAGAAGTGGATTCAGGATAGGGGAGCACACAAGGGCCTGGTGCACAGGAGGCTAGGCTGGGTCAAGCTGAAGCAGACTAGGGCTCCAGCAGCCGGGACAGAGCAAGAGTGGGGAGGCCAGACCCCTGAACCATGGGGTTCCTCAGTCCCTACAGCAGGACACCCAGAGCCATCCACCCAGTTCACATCCAGGCTCAGCCCCATCTGCGTCCTCACCAATGAGGTCCTTGTTGCGTCGGTCCAGCGAAAGGTTGCGCAAGGCAATGGCGACAGCGCGCACCACCTTGTCAGTCTCGGACTGCAGCAGCTCCACCAGCACCGGCAGACCCCGCTCCTTGCGCACTGTGGCGCGAATGTATGTGGCCCACTGCGGCAGCAGAGGAGGCGGGAGCGTGCTCAGCACGCAGTCAGGCCACCACACGTGAAGCACACTCTCCTACCTGAGCCCTGACCACTCCCTTCAGCTGGACTGTTCTCCTGACAGAGCCTTAGACCAGCTGCTTAGCTCTACCTCCACCAGATGCCTCCACACCCCACCACCCAGGGAACACTGCTTACAGCCCTAGCGCCTGAACCTCCCGGACCTTGGGGAGGTGCAGTATCTCTTCTCCTCCCCTCCCCCCTGCCTGGGCAAACGCAGGGGTAGGCACTGGCAGGGACCCATGGGATTCCCCTTCTGTCCCTTCCCTGCCAGACTTGGCCTCTCACCATCCAGTTGCCAGCACTGAGGTTCTGTAGGGCACCAGCCGCAGCCTCCAGGGTGTTGAAGTTCCGGCTCTCCGTGAGGAGTGAGAGGTAGAGACGTACCACCTCGGGCTGGTACAGCAACTCAAAGCCTGGGCACAGAGCACCAGCTGCCTAGGGTGGCACAGACCTCCCCACATAGCTGCCTCTCCCCCCCTCCCAGGATCAGGGTGAGCTGGGACCCAGGGAAGGGTGTGCAAGCAGGAAACGTTTAACAGTGTTATGGCCACCCATGAAAAAAAGCAGTCCCACTTCACAGAGGAACCAACAGAGGTTCAGTGAAGAGGCAGTGGGTTTGGGAGAGGCTGTTCTTCCCCTGACCCTAATGCCAAAGAAATGGAATTAGACCTGTATGGCAACCAGAGCATCCAGGAGGCCTACCAGTAGGGAGAAGGTGGCAACCAGGGCCTCTCCCCTAGCAACAGGACTCAAACTCCCTAGCAACAAGGCCCACCCTCCAATAGCTAACAGAGGCTGTGCAGCAAGAGGGTGGAGCCTAGCAACAAGACCTACCTCCCCTAGCAACACAGCATAGCTCCCATACATAACTGAAAATGTGTGACCACGACCACGGTCATGCCCTTAGCAACAGGGCCCATCCTCCAAGAGGTCCAAGCCTGGCAGTAGTGCTCCCCCCAGTGTTCCAGAAATGAGGTGCTGAGCAGCTTTCCAAGGCTGCTGTACCCACACTGGAGCTTCTGCCTATTCCTGGACATTACCTCCCTGTCCCATCCTCTCGCCAAATATGTCATACCCCCTTCCTAGTTCTCATGTCCGATGCTCCCTCCACTCCAGCCTATTTGGGCTTCCAATTCCCTAAACATGTTGCCTCCTTAGGTGTTGGCCCAGGCTATTCCTCAGCCTGAGATGCTCCCCCAGACCTCCTGTGGCTAATCCCTTCCATTCTGCTTGGGAGCATCTGGGCTCACACGGTGGGCTGTGGCCTGGGATCTCTCACTCAAGCTGGATTCCCACTGCACAGAACAATGCCAGCACACAGTAGGATTCCAAAAGAAATGGGACTAGAAGCACAAACCACTCTGCCCCTGCATGAATCAGGGTGATCTGGCCCAGCCCCTGTACTGGATCTGACTGCACCCTCACGGTACCCAAATCCCTCAAAGTGAACCTGAGCCCCTCAGCTGACACTAGAGGCCCTGCCAGCCAGCCCCTGCCCTTCATGGAGGGCTTCATTCCAAAGCTATGCGACCCAGCAAGTGCTGGCCTCTCTATCCCCCAACCCAGCCTGAAGTAGCCGGACTCTGATTCTAAACCTCTGCATGTGCCCAGGGACTAGATGGTCCTCTGGGGAACTCTACACCTGTGGGCCCATTTTCCATATTGGATCCACAAGGCCCTTTAGGCCTGCTTAGTGGCACAAAGCTTCACTACCTGGACAGTCCTGAGCCTGGACTGCACTCCATCCACTCACCTTTGGCGGCCTCGGTTCTCTTGGGCAGGTCCAAAGTGTCAAAGTTTCGTTCCATCTCCCCATCCTTCTTCCCTGGAACAGAAGAGCAGTGGGAGGTGAGGCGGACCCTGTGGGGGGCAGGTGTACATCACGAGGGCTGGGCACAGCACTATCCTGCCTAGAGCCCAGAAAGCACCCCCATGTCCAGGCACCAAGAGGCCAGAGGAGCAGAGGCATACTGAGATCAGGTAGACAGGTCGACCCAGGGGAGGCAGTGGTGGCAGTGGGACCTAGGGATGTCCCAGCCAGGACTCATGTCCCATCAGATGCTGGGAGCTGCACTGCAGATCTGCCCAATGGCTTCCTTGTGCTGCCTGAAGGATCCAAGAGCCTGGCTGTATGGTGGGTAGGTGCACACAGGAAAGCCGAGGGCTGACAGAGACAGGATATGCCTGGCCACATGAGGCAGGGCTGGAGCCAATGAGTTCCACCCATGGGGAAACTTGCCCATCTGGGGCCTAGACCCTGTCCCAGGCTCTGTTGGCCAAGGAAGAGGCTACTCACAGGCCAAACCCCTACAGCAGCACCTAACACCTGTCAGCCATGGCCTGTACCTCCGTGAGTGCATCACCACCTTCAGGCCACCCTCCCCACCTCAGACGGAGGAGTTTCTCCTCCTCTGGAAGGCAGTAGAGCTGAGTTTAGATGATCTGGGGCCCCCAACCTGCCCAGCCTCCTGGGGCCTTTATGTGGTTCCTATCTGAGTCACACATGCCCCATTCCATTGGAGAAACAGCCCCAGGCCCTGAGCACCTTGGCTCTGCCCCAGTTGCAGCTCCAGGCCCAGCCCTGCCTGGGGAGCAAAGTCTGGGGTTACAGGGAGACACCCCCTTGGCCTCCAAACCAATTCAGGGCTGACATTTCTGCCATTGTCATGGAGATGGCTGCCCAGAGAAGAGACTGCAGATGGGGCAGGACTTTGAGGCTGGAAAGCCCTGCAGTTGTCATGAAGACCACTGCCTGAGCAGAGAGTGTGTGTGTGTGTGAGTGTGTGTGTGTGTGTGTGTGTGTGTGTGTGTGTGTGTGTGCGCGCGCGCGCTGGGTGCCTCCCTGGGGCCCACTGCACCTGCCAGGCCTGGCTGGCAGGACAAAAAGGGACTCACCTTGATGGAACCAGTCCTCTGGGCAGCCGGAGGAAGCACAGGAGAAAGGAGAGGAGCCTGAGCAGGCAGCACCCCTCCCTGTGCCCTCCCAGGAAGCCTCAACTACCCACTGCACAACCTGGGTTAAACAGGTGGCATATAGAATCTCACTCCAATTACTTTTGGGGGTTGAGTGCCCACAAGTAGAAGGATCAGAAAAGGCCCACACAGGTGGGACCAGTGAGGGCGGTACACAGACTCCACCTGGCAGCTGCTGGGTAATTTTGGAACCTGCACCCTGAAGGTGGGGGTGGTACGCAGGAGGGGTGGGGTGCTGCCCTCAGAACTTCTCAGGGACTTCAGTTGCTCTACCAATGCCAGAAGGTGGCATCATCTTCGGTACTTTCCAAACTTAGGCCCACAGAACCCTCCCTAGAGCTAAGGGATTAGGTCCAGGCACTGGTCGGGGCCACCACAAGGGTTCTCTCCTACCATCCCCTGGGGTCCCCAGAGTGCAGAATGGAAAAGGCTGGGTCTGTTGGATGGGTATCCCAGGGTGGTGCAGCCTCCTTGGCTCCCTACTTCCCCACTTGCCTGCTGGTAGCTGACCATGAATGCCATGGGTATGGAGTCTGAGCCTGGTGGGGCAGGGAGGAGTGGTGCTAAAGTGCTACCCCAGGCCCACCCACACACCTTTGGTCTTCTTGCCACCGAAGCAGCCAGCATCATCCCGCCTCCGGTGCTGGGAGCCCACAGTACTGCCAAGGGGCCCAGGTTCGGCCTCCTGGTATCTGTCGGCCCCGGGCACCTCCTTGTGCACGTGGTAGGACAGGTTCCGCATGATGCATACGCAGTTCTCCACCGACTGTTGGGAGAAGAGAGCTGGTGTGGCACGGCCGGGTAGGCGAGGGGGATGCTAAGCCTCTCAGAGAAGACTGGCCACAGCCTGTGTGCACCGAGTGGACTGGGGGTGCCGAAACATGGAGGCCTGAGCTAGGGGGCCCACTCGGGCAAGAACCATCAAGGAGGGACCAAGAGACGAAACGGATGAAACACCGACTTCGTGTAGGACCTGGGCTTCGTGGCAGGCCCACTTCACAGTATGGTCACTACGAGGTGGCCTGTGCTGCCCTGGACGCACAGGCCTGTTCCCTCTGTGCTCCCATACAGTTCAAGCCCCCTGGGCCCTGCCTCTGGCCCATCTCCCTGAGCCTTTGCAGGAGGTTGTGAGACTGACCCTGGCTGGGACCTGCTGGGACCATCCTGTCTCACACCCACCCACCTTGTTGTCCGTGTCCTTTCTGCCCACGGCTGACTGAAGGGCATGCAGGAGTGCGTCCACCAGCCCTTCACACTCCCGAAGTCGCCGCCGGGCCTCTGCACCATCTGAGCTCACGTTCCTGGGTAGCCAAGAGCAAGCTCCGTGACCCCTGGCTCCCACTGCAACTCCCCGACCCCCACCTGGCCTTGGGGTCTTGTTTTCATCTGCAAAATGGGAGCTAACACTGCCCTGGTGGGGTTATTGGCAGATGACACAAGCCTGCAGCAGTGAAGGAAGGTGAGCCTGGCCTGACCACTGAGACCCTGGAGAGGGAGCCCTAAAGTGACATCTCTGTGGAAGGGGGTGGGAGAGAGGCTTTCCTGACTCCCAGCTGAATTTAAAGGGACAGAGGTGGGTCCAGAGGCCTGTATCTGTGCACAGGTGCTCAGGCAATTCTGGGTTTCCCCTGCCCCAATGGCAGCACTGGGCTCCACTTTTCCTGAGGTCAGGACTCTATAGGGCGACAGGGGGATATCTTGATAGACAGGACTGTAGGGACCCAGGACTGCCTGTGGGGTCTTTGCAGGGCCTCCCAGGGTGTGGGGAGAGAGGTCACAGGAGGTGGGATGAGGCCTCTGAGGCAGACTGAAAATGAGGATCCTGGCTCCCATTCCCTGGATGTCATGATGATGGAAGAATGGGTAGAGGCTGGGCGTGGATAGGGCCATGGGGTACTGCACAATAGGATGGCAGATCTTGTCCAGAGGAGGCCCTTGGGAGTGAGTCCAGCCCCATCAGGCCGCATTCTCAAGACTTGGACAGGAACTGTGATGACTCAGTCCTAAGACTTGGGCAGCTAGCTGTCTTCTCAGTTATCTGGGATCTGAGGACATGGCTATCCCAGGATAGCTGTGTGCATGCAGGTTATGGTACCCAGCTCCTGCCTCCTTGACCAGGAACAGCTCAGGGCGGCTGCTCAGGGGGTGCCTGAGCCCAGCCCCACCCCCACCTCAAGCAGCCTGATGTGTTCTTGAAGACAGTCGTCCATTCGGCATCCCGTGGCTTGGAGTCCTCATTGGGCTCTCGCTCCCAGCCCGAATGGGGCACAATGACCTCGTGGGTCAGTGTCTGTAGGCCATGGTCAATGATGACCATCTTCAGGGGCTCGTAGGATGACAGGTTCCAGAGTGTGCCTGTGGGGCACCATTGACCAGCCAGTGCTGACCATGGGTACTGCCCCCCTACCTCCCATGTGACTGCTCAGGACCTGCTGTGCCCTCCATCATGCCCCAGCTCAGACCAGAAGGTAGGAAGTGACAAAAGCTGTTAGAGATTTTCCAAATGCACCCCCTGGCCCAGGCACAGAGCACCCACCACTGGCTCCCACTGTGGAGGGGGTGGGGGCCCAGAGGGGCTGGGACAAGAGGAGGGGCAGGCAGGGAGCCTGGGGCTAGATATAGCAGGTGCCTTCTCTTCCCCACCCCTTCCCAGCCACACGGGTGGATAGGACTACCACAACTGGGGCCACACNGGTTTCCCCTGCCCCAATGGCAGCACTGGGCTCCACTTTTCCTGAGGTCAGGACTCTATAGGGCGACAGGGGGATATCTTGATAGACAGGACTGTAGGGACCCAGGACTGCCTGTGGGGTCTTTGCAGGGCCTCCCAGGGTGTGGGGAGAGAGGTCACAGGAGGTGGGATGAGGCCTCTGAGGCAGACTGAAAATGAGGATCCTGGCTCCCATTCCCTGGATGTCATGATGATGGAAGAATGGGTAGAGGCTGGGCGTGGATAGGGCCATGGGGTACTGCACAATAGGATGGCAGATCTTGTCCAGAGGAGGCCCTTGGGAGTGAGTCCAGCCCCATCAGGCCGCATTCTCAAGACTTGGACAGGAACTGTGATGACTCAGTCCTAAGACTTGGGCAGCTAGCTGTCTTCTCAGTTATCTGGGATCTGAGGACATGGCTATCCCAGGATAGCTGTGTGCATGCAGGTTATGGTACCCAGCTCCTGCCTCCTTGACCAGGAACAGCTCAGGGCGGCTGCTCAGGGGGTGCCTGAGCCCAGCCCCACCCCCACCTCAAGCAGCCTGATGTGTTCTTGAAGACAGTCGTCCATTCGGCATCCCGTGGCTTGGAGTCCTCATTGGGCTCTCGCTCCCAGCCCGAATGGGGCACAATGACCTCGTGGGTCAGTGTCTGTAGGCCATGGTCAATGATGACCATCTTCAGGGGCTCGTAGGATGACAGGTTCCAGAGTGTGCCTGTGGGGCACCATTGACCAGCCAGTGCTGACCATGGGTACTGCCCCCCTACCTCCCATGTGACTGCTCAGGACCTGCTGTGCCCTCCATCATGCCCCAGCTCAGACCAGAAGGTAGGAAGTGACAAAAGCTGTTAGAGATTTTCCAAATGCACCCCCTGGCCCAGGCACAGAGCACCCACCACTGGCTCCCACTGTGGAGGGGGTGGGGGCCCAGAGGGGCTGGGACAAGAGGAGGGGCAGGCAGGGAGCCTGGGGCTAGATATAGCAGGTGCCTTCTCTTCCCCACCCCTTCCCAGCCACACGGGTGGATAGGACTACCACAACTGGGGCCACACTGAGAAGTGGCCATATGACCTTGCCTGGCCACTCAGGTCCCACATGGCACAGTCCCCACCACTGCCCTATTGGGAGTGGGGCCAGGCAGGGAGGGGGCCTGCCTGAGGGGCCCAGTGCCAGCCCCCACCAGTGGCAGCAAAGTCAGAGGTTGAGACTGGGGACCTTTCATGGCATCTGCACCTGACGCCTGCCCCCAGCAGCTGGGACTCCTCTGACTAAATGGGGTGGCTTTCCCTGGCCAAGCCTCGCTCTCGTCTCTTCCCAGGGGATGCAGGGCGGCCAGGTGATACTCACCTGTGACAAGCTCTCGGACCTCATTGTCCCGGGCGGCCCGCAGCAGGCGCACCAGGGCGGGCACGCCACCGCAGTCCCGGATGGCCGCCTTGTTGTCAGTGTCTCGGCCGTAGGAGAGGTTGCGCAGTGCCCCACAGGCCCGGCGCCGCACCTCTGCCCTCGGGTGGTCCAGCAGAGCCACAAGCAGGGGCAGCCCCCGCAGCTGCCTCACACGCCGCTTGACACCCTCATTCTCAAAGCACAGGTGCTGCAGGTAGGCAGCCGCATTGGCCTTCACGGGGTCCACAGGGTGCCGCAGCATGGCCAGTACCTCAGGTAGCTCAGGGTCCCGCCAACGTGGCTCTTTGCGGGCGCTGTCGACAGACGGTGAGCGCCGCACCATCCGGTCCAGGCTGCCCAGGCTGCCCCGTTCTGGCTGGGCCAAGGGTGCTGTCATGGCTGGGAATGGGGGCCTCTCCTCCATCAGCTCACCGCCATCATCTGCCACATCCTCATAGGCCCTGTGCAAGTGAGCAGGGCACACGAACATATTCTCGTTGACTGCTGGCCCTGCCCCTGAGCTGCCCCAACAGACCTCCAGGGGAACGTGAACCCAAAGAGGGGGGGCCTGGGCCTGGAGTGTTGGTACTTTACCCCAAGCACCACATGGGTACTGAGAGTCATATCCCAGCCCAGCAAGAACTGACTCAGAACCAATGACAGAAACAAGTCCCAGCCAATGGTCATCAGGGCTTGCTCACACTCATCACAAGGCAGTGTCCCCGATTCTGAGCTAAATGCATTTCTATGAAATATTTGTCCATGACTGGAAGGCCCACCTTCCCATGAGGCCCATCAAGGGAAGTGATCCTCTCTGCACATGGCAATCCTGGTGGGCCCATCTGAGGGGCAGTCAGACCACCAGTCCCCCAGGGCACAGATGTCCACAGGGGTTTTTACCATCAAACCCACTTCTCAGGAGGGATTGAGGTTAGGAGGGGCCAGGTGTCTTGCCCATGGTCATGCAGCATACTCCAGACCCAGGTTGTGGTCATGTTCCCACTCTACAGATAAAAATACTGAGGGCAGAGGGAACAGATCCAGAGGTTACGCTGAGAAGGGCAGGGCTGGGTAGCAGGGGGCCTGGGTTCTCGATGCAACTATGCATGGGGGAAATTGAGGCCTTGGGAGAGGCTGAAGCTTCAAGCTTTGAGAGACACCCTGAGTCTCTTGGGTTCCTGTCTTCAGGGTCACCTGCCTAGAGCAGGGGCAGCAGGTATTGGGCACTGTCACCAGCTTCATGCCCCGGTCCTGCAACTTCCACCATCCCAGGGCCTATTCTTGCTGCCGTCCTTGAGAATGGAGGCCATTTCAAACTGACGTGTGCATTACTAACTGATTTAGGCCCAGCAACTAGACTACCTGTGGGGTATACTCTGTGACAGGAGAGTGGAAGGCAGATTCCCTGGAGGCAGTGGCAGGGCACAGGGTGCTCACCTAGTGCGAAGGCCCCGCCCACAGTCAGGCCTCCTCCTCGTGGCCGTGCCATAGTCAGGCTCCAGCTCCGGGCCACCCCCGTCATCAGCAGCCAGACTGCGTGTGTCGTCCTCCAAGCCATATGGCTCTGCCTGGAAGCGCTCGGGCTGGGAGCGACCGGCTGGCAGCACTGGCTCAGGGCCCTCGGTGAAGGCTTCACGGCGGCCAGGCAGTGTGAAGCAGCCATCACCAGGGCCGGGGCCAAGGGAGCCACCACGAGAGGGCCGCACACCCAGCCCACGGGACAGGCTGCCATAGCTGGGGACATCCCGGGGCTCAGGGCTGTCAGGAAAGCCACCCCCACTGCTGAGGTAGGTTCGAGAGAGTGTGGCCGCTGGGCCACCCCCACGCAGCAGGAAGTGCCGGTCCAGGGGGCCATCGGCAAAGTGCCCTAGTGGGGGGCCACCATCCAGGAGGGGGAGGCCGTCTGGGCCCATGGGCACTTGGCGCACTGTTCGTGTAGTCACCGTCTTGACCGTCTTGGTGACCTGGTGAGTAAGTAGGTAGCCAATGGGCTGGACAGCCTGAGAGGCCCAGACACTGCCCCACAGGGACAGTGGCCTCAGACTTCCACCCGAACAAGTGGCCCCCAGGAGGCTGGGACATGTGCCCACTCTACACATGGGACAACTGCGGCTACATAGCCCATCTGCCCACCACCTGTGCCCAGCTATACCTTGGTCTCCGTGCGCCGTGTCGTGCCGTCTTCTGACATGACAATGGACACATGGGAGGTGGGAGTGCCAGGGTCCTCCTCCACCGTCACTGTCTCCTCCAGCACCTCAGGCGCCTCCGGCATTGTGGCCAGTGAGACCTGGCTGCCTGGGCTCTGCTCCTGGGTGAGGGGTGTGGGTGTTGGTGGGAAAACCCAGTGCTCAACCCACCCTAGAGCGTAGGAAGGTGCTAGCCTGGATGCCAGGAATGACTTCATTCCATCCCCAGAACCCACTCACCCTAGGACCTGTTTTAGTCCCACTATGAGGACAACAGCATGTCTCTGCTTCTGAACAGAGGGGCTGACCCTGCCCTGTTGCCCCATCCCAAGGGGTCCCCAGGGGCTGGTGGCTGTGTCTTAGCTGCGAGGCCTGACAGCAGCAGGCTCCTGGAGGCGCAAGGAGGCCAGAAGGAACCCACTGGATGTTCTCCAGGTGTCCTGGGCCTCCTCCCTGCCCCACCTCAGAAATGTTTAGTGGCCTTAGGGTGGCAGTTTCAGTAGTTCACCAATTGCCTGGACCATGCCTAGGCTCCACCCCACCCCCCAGCCCTAAGGCCAGCTAGACACCCTCGCAGGCCAGAAATACCCAGCTCCCAGAATGCCCTGTGCACTCAGAGCACCAAAATACCCTCACACTCCTTCCGGCCCAGACACTCTTGGGGTGTTGAGTGGGCAAGTCCTGGCCCTACCGTCACTAAGACCTTGGGTGTCATGTCAGAGAGCCCAGAGTGGGTTCAGGCCAAGAGTACCTAGCTTGTCCTTGACAAGAACACCAATGTCGCCTCCCTGTCCATCACCCCAGGTCTCCCCAACCATGGCCCTCAGCTCCCGATCACCTGCCTCATTCTCAACCTGTGCCCCCCTTGCCTTTCCATCACCCCTGCAGGGGATAACCATGGTGGAATTCCAGATAAGATGGCTCTGGACAGAGGCCCTTCAAAGACCCATATGCCTACTAGCCAGTGGGGAAACTGAGGCTCAAAGAGGACAGCCCAGCCCTCAGCAGAGCTGGCCAGACTCCTGCTGTGCTGAGTGGCACAGGGGTCAAGAGTCTATCCCTGGGTCTCTGACCACATGGGTCACCCACACAGGACCAACGTCTCAAGGTCAGCATCTGGCCAGGATGGGTAGGAGTTGAAACCCAAGCCACAGGAGGCGGGCAATGGGGAGTGCATTCCTGGACAGCCAGGGCTGGGTCAGCAGAAGAACAGGCTCTGCTTTGCGGCCCAGGCCCCAGGCCTTGCCAGATGGGTCCCCTGTGGGAGCCCCAGGCAGGCCTGCACAGACATGGAGTTGAGGCCCAGGGAAGGCCAGAAGCTCCCAACTGCATCTGTGTGGCCTCAGAGCCCTACTCTGGCTCCTGTCTCTGGGCCTCGGAGTTATGCAGGGAAAGATAGTCAGAGCTGCCTTTAGGTGCTGCCTCCTGAGGTCCTCAGGGTGTGACATTTTCCCAGGTTGGGGTCCTGTCCTGAAGGAATGCTTGAGCCCTCCCCACTGCTTGTAGTGTTGAAGCTCTGGGTCCTCTTCAAGGATCCAGGGAGGGCCCTGAACCAATATGATAGGACAGGTGCATCCCTCGGCCTCTGGCAACACAGGAAGGAAGAGGCCACAGAATGCACACCCCTACCCCATCCCAAGCAGAAGAAAACATGTGATTTTATAAAAGGGAAACAGGCCTGACAGAAGAGAGAAGCTCTACCTAAAACTTCACAAACTGCTAATTTCAGGCATCCGTACAGAAGGCAATTTTGCATAGAAAGCAATTTTGCAAAGCCTTTTAGCCACACCTCACCCCTGTGGGCCACAGCCTTGGCTGTCACCTTCTCAGTCCTGGGATGCAGGTGGAGTGACTGTTGGAAACCTGGCCAGGGAGGAGGAGCACAGTTTCCTGGGAGAGAAGTAAACTGAGGCCCAGAGTAGAGACATGCTGATGGGCTGCCAGGCAGGGTGGCCTGAGCACTTCTTGGAGGGCACTGGGGAGCCAGGACAGTTCTGGAACAGGAGAAGGTTCAGGAACAGCCTGTCACTGCTGGGGCCTAGGGTGCCCCATCTGTATTTAGCAAGTACAGAACAAATGTGTGGTGGCAAGGACTGAATTCTTTCTGCTGGGCTCGGGAGGGACAGGCATGGAGGGGCCTCAGGCCTTGCTCTGGTGGCTGCAAGTGTCAGGGCAGGACAAGACGCAAGACTGACAGAAGGGAACCAGAACTGTTGCCCAGGACACTACACTGCCAGTGAGATATGGCCCCTCAGTAGGTTTGCATACATTTGCATACATTATCACTCTCAGAAGAGCCCCTACTCCCTGGCTGGAATGGGGGGAGCACATCTCAGACCCCAATGTTACTCTGTGGTCCAGCTTATTCCTCTCACTCAGACCTGTGGTGAGGTTCTGATACAGTGAAGTCAGGAGGATGAGGGGGTGGGGTGTCCAGGAAAGCCAAAGCCCTCCAATAAGGCCTGACCGTTCTGTAGCATCACCCACAAACACCCAGTCCGGGCAGCCCTGTTGCACGATCCTGAGGCACCAAGAGCCCCTGCTGGCAAATGACCTCAGGGAGCTAAATACAGGAGATGACTTCACCCAAGCAGGCAGGCAGGCAGGCAGGAGCCTGAGTCACCAGAGATCATGGGAAGGCCTGGCCCCCACTACATATGCCTGGGCACAGTCATGCAGACAGGGACCTGGACACACATGTGCATGTACCTGGTCCTTATAACAGGGACACACGTGTGCATGAGAAGCCAGCCTGGCCCATAGGCCTGAGTAAATCAGTTTGTGTGCTCTCCTAACAGCACTAAGTACACAGTGCCCACCATCCACAGAGGCACTTGCATGTGTACACACATCCCACCACCTCCTCTTGTGTCCAGACTCCCTCAACCACCATCCAGGCATCCATTATAGGAGTCTCACAGCTGACAGCAGATGGGGGAACTGAGGCCCAAGGTCGACCCATGGCCTGGGACTCTGCAACATCTTTGGGGTGGGGATATGGGATCATGGGCTGATGACCAGGACACAGTTGGTGCTCAACAGAGGCAGCTGACCAGTATGCCTGGATCCTTGTCTGGCCTTGAGGTCCTGCTCTAGGGTCCCATGTACCACCCATGTCCACCTACCAGGCCAGCCCAGCCTCAGGGACTCCTGGCCTGGCAGCCCCAGTACTCCCTAACCCCTTATACCCCAGACATGGGCACCTGCATGGACACACCACCCCCAGCCCTCCTCCATGTCCCAAATCCTGCCAAGTCCTGTCAACTGTGTGTTGGTGCTCCTTCTCCAGCCCTGGCCTTATCCTTGCAGCTCTCACTGGAACCACTGCCCAGCCTCCAGAGCCCAGCCTCCAGAGCCCAAATCCGTCCTGTGATACACCTATCCATGGTCCACTTGGGCCCGGGTCCGGAAAGGGGCTGCTGCCCAAACCTGGGGTTTCCCATGAGCTCGTCTGAACTTATGGGAGGGGCCTGGAGAACCCCAGAAGGTGATGCTCTCATGAGAGTGCCTGGAGGCACAGAGCTGAGCACAGCAAGAGCGCCCTGGGCCCCTTCACACACCAGGGGCTCAGCTTTATACAGAAACAGGTAGGACCTAGGTCGTCAAGGCTGTGGGACAGGCAGGGGAGAGTGCCAGTCCACCGTTGTGGCCAGATGTGAGACAATGCATAGAGGGGCCGCCACCTGGGCAAAGGTCCACAATAGCCTCTGGGGTACATGTGGGAATGGCCGAGGGAGGGGGCAGAGGAAACAAGCCAAGTTGTAATGGGGGGGCTGGCTGGACTGGGGTCCCAGAGGCATGGATCTACCTGCATCACCTACATTTGTCTGATGAGCACCCATGGTCTATATCATGAAGAAGGAACTGAGGAGCGGGTGCCCCACCCTGTCCATGGCTCTGCTGCCCAACACAGGGAATGGGTTAAGGTGGGATTCCACACCTGGCTCCCACAACCCCTGGGGCCAGGTCCCCAGAAGACATAAGATGGGTGCTGCTGAATGAACAGAGGGGTGGCATCTCCCACCAGGGAGCAAGCCCTTGACCACCACAGAAACCCTCTCCCTTGACGCCCACGGCCTCTGCCCAGCCCTGGCAGAATGGAGCTCAATCCTCCACGGCAGCAGTCCTACTGCCAGGGCACAGCCTCATGCCGAGTGGCAGAGAGGCCAAGGGGTAGTGGGTGCCCAGCAGGCTAGGGGACCAGGCTTGTGGGACACAGAAAGCAGAGCTGGATGTCATTCGCCCAACTTCCCCAAACCCAGCCCACATCCATTGGCTACACTGTGGCCCAAATCCCCCCAACTTCCCCAATGGCCCCTCCATCTCTGGGGTAGTCAGTGGCCAGACCCTGGGGGCCACGCCAGGGATACAGAGGAGGCAGAGACTGGCTGGCTGTCCCAGAAGGCAGGTGTTTGGGAGACCTACCTCCCAGGACAGGGCGCCCTGCGGTTGTGTGTCCCCCCCCCAGCCCTTTGGGGGCCTGTCACTGGACCCCGCCCCCTGTGGGCAAGAGTGCAGACTGCCCACATGCCTCCCCCAGCCCCAGGACTGGAAGGCAGCCTGCCGGGTTTTCCTCAGAGACCCCACCAGCCTCTGCACGTGGGCAGGGCCGTCCTCCACCCCTCCCCTCACGTGCGCTGCTGCTGCAGACGGGGCTTCCCTTAAGGCTCCCTCCGGAATCTCCTTCGCAGGTCCCGAGTCGGAACCCGCGCTGGGGCTTTGGAGGGGAGGCCCAGCGAGCCCCCAGGAGCAGGCGGCCTAGCCGGGCTTCCCCGTCCGGACTCGGCCTCCCTCCTGCATAGAAGGGGCT